TCCCTACCGCAGCCGCCCCCCGCGCTTTCCTCCAGCTGGCCGGCCCTGGGGCCCCGGCGGCGCAGCGTCTGGTACATCTACAGGTAACACAGCGCCGCCCCCTTCCCGGCCGCGAAGACGACCCTCCCCAGGCCCTGACCCCCGGGCCGGGTTCTTTGCCGGACCCTAGGTCGCCCCCCGTCCATCTCGCGTTACCTTACCCATACTCAACCCTCACGGCCCCTCTTCACATGCCTGCGCCTCTCCATCTTCCTCCCTGGGCCCCCCCTTCCCGACCCCACCATGTACGCTCCTTGGCTCTGGTAGTCTCTCCTCCACCCCCTCCCAGGCCCTTCCAGGTCCTTCGGTCTTCTTTCCCTAACACCTTATCCTGGCCAGGCCCTCCATACGAGCCCATTCTGGGGCTGCAACTCACTTGCCCTTTCTGCCGCCCTCAGTGCCCCCACTTCCCCGAGCCCTCCCTTGGGGAGCCGCCGAGGCTTTGCTCAGGCCCGGGTCTCTCTGATCCCCCTATCCCCGCCCCTCTTCCTGGAGTTGGCAAGTCCCCCCATTCATACCCCTCTCTCCCATTCACAGTCGTCCCCCCATCACACACGCATTCCGCCCCCGCCTCCTCTCCCCTCCTCTTTTTCCGCTGCGTGTCACTGTGCGACTGTGCGTGTGTCCGTGTGGCTGTGTCGATGTGCGTGTGTGTGCCTTCCTGCAGCCCCGTGTGTGTATACGTGTGTAAGGGAGGGAAGCACAGAGAGGTGGGCAACGGTGGGCTCTTAGCTTTCCTCCCCCACCCGCTGCGTCCATCTGTGTATCCCTGTGTGACAGTGTCTGTCTCTGTGTGACTTGGAGCGATAGCGAGGCTGTCTGGGGACCGTGTGTGTGTGTGTGTGTGTGTGTGTGTGTGTGTGTGTGTGTGTGATGGAGTGGATCTGTCCCAGGGACTGCGGCTGCGTTTCCCAACACCCAGCCTCCTGTGCCTGTCCTGTCCCTCCCCCCACAGCCCCCCGCCCGCTCCCTCCAGTGCTTGTCCCCATGTGCTCTGCTCCCTGCCCTTGGGGGGTCTTGCATGGGGGGACCCTCCAGCCAGCAGTTCGGCCCTCGGCCCGCGTGGGGCACGTGTGCCGAGCTGTCACTGGGCTTGTGCACGGAGCCTCAGCTGCTCGTGTGCCCCTTCTCCCCACGGGAAGAGGGTGGCTTCCCCGTGGAAGGGGCTCAGAGAAGGCCACGGAGAGTGCCGCGGGAGGGGGCGCCGCGCACGGCGGCAGGCTGTGGGCTGTGGGATTCTGAGGGTGTGAAGGCCCTCCAGGTGGGGGCGGGGAGTGGACGCGCCGCAGTCTCCGCGTGTGGGATCCGGTGAGCAGGAGCCGGCCTCCGAGCTCCAGAGGCCTCTCAGGGACGCCGGGGATGGCCTGGGGGAGAGCGCTGTGCCGGCTCCTGATGGGCAGGTAGTCCGCGCCATGGAGCATGCATGGGTGCTGTGAGGGGTGCGGAGAGAATGTGGGGGAGGGGCGGGGCCGCAGGGGCCTGGGGGTGGCGGAAGAAGGATGGAGTATGGGCTTGGGAGAGTGGGGGTGCAGGATCTGGAGGTCTTGGAGTGTGCTGAGCAGAGAACCAGGGAGGAGGGGGTGCAGGGACTGTGGAGCGGATTTGGGGGTGGGGATTTGGGCAGCGCACCGAGAGGAGAGGAGAGGAGAGGAAAGGAGAGCGGGGAGGACGCGGGAATGTAAATGAATGCAGCTGCACGTCTGATCGCCGGCCGGCCGGCCGCGGGGGTGTGATGGAGGCTGGGACTCAAAAGTAGGAAGAGCTGTCCGTGCACGGCAAAAGGGTGGGATTGGGGGCGCCAGGGGGCCCACAGAAAGTGCGGAAGGATGTGGGGTGAGGAGGTCACACCGTCACAGAACATGGCACGGGTGTGGATGTGTTGCGGAAAGGCCGCATGGGAAAGTCCCAGAGCTGTGACCGGGACAAGGACCCCAGGCCGATGGGATGGGACAGGGTGATGTGGACTGCGGGATGGTGTGGAGTGAGTGACATGCCAGGGCCCGGGAGCAGCTGCGGGCTAGTCCGCTGGGGCACTGGGTGAGGCTTTCATGGAGAGAAGCTTCCTGGGACATGGGAGTCCAGAGGGGTGGGGGTGCTGCAGCGATGCTGGGCTGAGTGGGAGAGCCCGAAATCCACATGGCAGCTGGGGCGATCTGAGCAAGTTGTCCCGGCCTTGCTTTGCTCATTTACAAGGTGAAAGGCTAGGACCTGAGGCAGCCCTTCCTAGGTGTGAAGTGCTGGACGTGGCCTGGCGTGGCCTGGCGGCCAGGGGTGTGAGTGGGTGTGCTGCTGGTGTAATGAGGCTTGAAGTTCTGGTGGGTGCCAGGGGCACCCCCGCAGATGTGCATGTGTTCAAGGTCCTTGGGCACCGTGGGGCGGAGAGTATTATAACAGTTACCTGGCTGTTTTTGTTGAAGACTGTTACTGAGTGACCTCAGGCAAGTTTCTTAAATTTTCTGTGCCTGTTTCCTCACTTGTAAAGTGGAAGTGATACTTTATAGCTAAAGTTTTACCTATAAAATGCTTTATTATTATTATTATTATTATTATTGTTATTATTAATTTTATTTTTCTCAGTGCCGGGATGGATCCCGGGGTCGTTCCCCACTCCTGGCCCATGCAGGGCTCCGGCTCTTGCCTCATCTACAAGGACCCTTCTGAGCCTGTCACAGACTTGGGGCTGTTACTGCTTACATGGGAGCTGGAGTACAGAGGGAAGGCCTATGTGTGGAACATGAGGATGATATGGGGAGGGATGATAGGAGAGGCAGAGGTGCGAAGCAGGAGTGAAAGAAAGTGGGGTGCTACCGGAAGAGGGCTGCTGAAGGGCACTGCTGGCTGCTGGGGGCCCTGGATGTGGGGAGGACCTGGGGCAGCAAAGACACAAGAGGTTGGAGGAGGTTGTCAGGGTTTGTGGCCGAGACACAGGCAAGGGTCAGGAGGTCATGAACAGCTGCTGTGACCTTGGAACCCACCTCCACTGACCTTGTCCATTCACTGTTGAACCTTCTTGGCCCCTGTCTGTCTCCCCATCCCCTTCCCTGCCTGCATACATCCCTCCATCCCATCCACCACCAAGGTCCTGGCTCATGGGCTGCTTGTAATCTCAGGGGGAGGAAGACGCAACAGGTATGGGGCGAATGTGTTTCCAAAACCAGGATGAGCCCAGGGTGAGAGCAGTGGCCAGGGTAGATGTTGTCCCTCTGTGCAGTGGGTGTGAAGGGACAGGAAGGCATGGTGAGGAGGTAGGACAGGGAGGCCATGAGCGCGCAGGCGCAGAGCTGTCTCTGGGCTACCAGTATTTGGATTTCACAATGAGAGTCACAGGGGTCATGGGAGAATATAGAGGTGCTTGTGTGGGGCGGCACTGAAATACAGTAGGAGCACAGCAGGTATTACTGGCGTGTGCTGAGATGTGTGCAGGGGGCTGTGCTGTGGGAATACACTGAGATCAGAGTGAGGGGGAGTCATTATTGGAGCATACTGGGATGTGTGGGGGTGTTCCTGAAATATACTGGAGTATTCGTGGAGGGCTGTGTTGCCGAATCTGTGGGGGAAGGTAATTGGGGAGCACGCTTGGCTATTATTGGAGTGTTTGAGCTTCTTGGGTATCGCTGGGATATGCTGAGGGGGTCCGGGCATTGTTGGGTATCGCTGCAGTACCTGTCAGTGTGGGAGAGGGACATGCGGAGGAGCCACAGCTATGCCCTGGATCCAGGCAACACCAAAAGATGCTCAGGGCAAGCAAGGCAGGGCAGGTGTTCGGATGGCTGCTGGATGTTGGAGGTTGTTCTGGATCTGCAGTGCTTGGCATTCCCGTCCACCCTGGGGTGGAGCTTTCTGGGGCATACAGTTGTGCGATTAGGGTTCTGGGGGGGTCTGTTGTTGGAGCAGGCTGGAGCAGGTGTGGATAGAATGCAGTGACTTCAGTCTGTGGTCTTTACTAGCTGTGTGAGCAGCACGCGTGTGGTAGCTTTCCCAGGAACCACCCGCGTGTATTTGGGGGGGAGGTCTCCCATGTGGACAGGGTGCTAGAACACACTGTGGGTGTGCAAGAGACATGCATGAGATTTATCAGATCTCAAGGGTACAGGGAGAGCCTGTAGCAGTGGAAACATTTAGGTCAGCGCTGTCCTGCGTAGTAGCCACAAGCCACATGGAATCATAGGACAGTGGAAAAGTGGCCGCTGTGATGGAATGTTTGATTGAATGTGAATATTTGATTTTGATTAACTGCCATAAAAATAGCAACATACAGGGGCTGGAGAGATGGCTCAGTGGTCTAAAGCACCTACTTAGAACAAGTTCAGTGAAGCACAGGGACCA